AAGCTTGAAAAGCACAGTGGGCAAATGACAATGACACCCTCCCACCCCATTCCTGAAATAACCAAGGCTGCAGAGAATATAGCACCCTCCACTAGAAAAGAGAAAGGAATTAGGGTCCTGAAGGGAGAACCAGATCTCAGGTAGCAATGGCAGTCATTCATCGTGCTCAGGGGCTCAGAGTCGCAGTGCCACCATCCATACCCCGGCCTCAGATTTTCCACTTTTGTGCCTTTGCTCCTGCCTAGCCTGCCTACTTTACTGGCCTATCTGCTCAAATTCTATCTTTCCCTCAATAACTCAAACATTTTTCTGAGCACTCTAGGTTGAAGTGCTTTTTTGCCTACTATACAGTTCCACAGAGCATATTGTATATACTATTCACTTGTTCTTATTTACTCATTTATTTGTTCATTAATTATTTAAACTATTATATGCCAAGAATTATCTAGGCATGGTTTCATTTTATAATTGCTACTTTATGTTTTTATTTCTACAAGTAAAAACTATAATATACTAATAAGGATTGCAGTGGATCCACCAGATTATTAAAGTCAAAGGAAAATGCTAAGTAAGGTTGTCTGTTTTGAATCTTGTCTTCCTAATCAATGGGATGCTAACCATGAGTATGTTTTGGCTAACCAATATCTAAAACAATGTTACTTTTAGATGCCTGACAATTTGCAGAGCAATTTTCTAAAAATCTCATTTGATGAAACAAAACAAGCAATTTTACACAACTAACCTTAGTGTATTGTTATCCTTGGTAGCATTTAGGTTTACTTAGAACCTAAATAGAGAATGAATACATTGGAAATGTATTAGGTAGTCTGCAGAATCAGGGGGCATTTTAAGGACAAGAACAGCAGCATCTTCATGAGGCTGAATAACAGGTTATTGAGCATCTTTCAAGGCTGCCATTAAGATGAATTTGTGTTCAGTCGTTTTGAGTTCTCAGGTTCCACAGTCCTAGGAGAGAGACGCATAAGCTCAGTGTGAATAGCAGGGGGCAAGGTCTCTGGTCTGACAGTCCCACCACACAGTATCCAATTGGAAGATGATTATCCCCAAATGTAAATTAGGGTGCAATTCACCAAAATGGCAAAAATATTCAAGGGAACAAAATGCTTTCCTGATGCCCCTTATGAGAATTACTTACTCCCTCTCTTATGGACACAGAGATCCTTATTTGTCTCTTACACTTGGATGGAATTACATGTTGTTTATGTAACTTTCATTTCTTACAGTAGTTTATGAGCTCCAGAAGGCAATGGCTGCAGCAGCTGTACCATATGGAGAATGATGTCTTAGAGATCACTGTGCACAATTTCAAAATTAGCTTAGAAATATTCTGGGTGAACTTAAGCAAAATTCAATTACCTTTCATTCTGTTCCACAATGGACTTTTATAAAGTTTATGTAGTTTTACCTTTTTAATATAAAAAACATAAGATGGAAATGGGAAGACATAAATCCTCTTTGTTGCTTTTCCATTTTGTGTAATTATAAAATACCCAGAACTCTCCCCATTTTAATTGGAAATATTTTACATCAAAAACGAAGGATATAACATTAATCTAATTTTCTCTGGTGCTAAGAGTCTCTTCAACAGTTTAACTGACTAGTTCCTTACCTGCTAGAACTTTTGAATAAGAACAAACATAAAACACTCAGATTTCTAGAGACTAACTCTAGTCTTAATTTGTTAGGAAGAAATTATTCTCAGAATTTTCTAGCTTGTATTTGAAAGGATAATTCTAGAAAACCATCATTGTAGAAAATGTATCACTAAATCTTCCAGAGGTTCTTAAACACTATAAAATAAAATTCAACAGATTAATTCCATAGTAAAATCAGAACTTAGATTCCATCAAATACTGTAAAAATGAAAGGAGCATTCATACAATGAAATTATTATTCAGCCATAAAACATATGGAATATTTATAGATGCTACATGACCCTTGAGAACATTATGCTAAGTGAAAGAAGCTAGACACAAAAGTCATATAATTCTACTTACATGAACTGTCCAGAAGGAGCAAATCTACACAAAGTAGATTAGTGGTCGCCAGAGGGTAGAGGGCAGCAGAAATGGAGAATTACTTACTGCTAGTTGATATGGATGATGAAAATATTCTGTAAGTAATAGTGATGGTTGTACAACCTTGGGAATCACAATAAAAATCACTTAATAGTGCACTTTGAAAGGATGAATTGTGTTACATATTTTCTCAAAAAAAAAAAAAGATATTTTAGGATAGAGGCAGGAGGGTTAGAGAGGTTGGGATGAAAGAAGTTGTTTTAAGGGCAGGAATTTGGTATTTATATGTAGGCAAAAAGAGAGTGGGGGGAAAAGCATAGAATATAGCCTTAGGAGCCTAAAGTTTAAATTACATTGCTCCTATCACTAATCATTTTTGCCTTTGTGGAAAGTATATTGTGATTTGCTCATTTCTGTGTTTTTTTTTTTAAAGTGCAAGTTTATCTTTCACCATATAACTGATCCTTTTTTTTTTCTTTTTTAAAGATTTATTTATTTATACAAGAACAGGGGTGCAGTCAGAGGCTCAGGAGGGTGACAGAATTCACCAGAGACAGAGCTGGGAGCAGAACTGGCAGATGGACCGAAGATACTGCTGAAGGGAGCAGAGGGGGAGGCAGGAGAGGTCAGCTATACCACATGGGTAGCTCCCTGGCCAGCCGGGGATCGAACCCATGCTGCAGAGCCTGCGGACAGCTTCACAGTGTGGCTCTCAAACCATTGTGCCACCTGGGAGGCCCTGTTCATTTTTGGTTTTTTGGGGTACTAAAATATTTGCCTGTAGCCTTTCTTAGTTCTTTCAACATAAGAATTGTACAAAAGTCTTAACTGCAAATCAAGCAATTTTATTTTGTTGCAACTCTTAAGCTAGAGCTTTGCTTACTTATTTGGAATAAAAGTGTATAGTTTGCAGATGATGCCAGGAAATTATATCCTAACCATCTGTACTTAACCAATGAAACTCAAAGACTTCCCTGGATTTTCTTTTCCTCATTCTCTGAATTTTAATCTGTGTGTTTTTAGTCTTGGAGTTAACTGAGAAGTTCTGTGAACTAAGCACATTCTTTCAAAACCACAGGCATCCACTTCTCATTGGATTTATGACAATCACAACATTGGCATGCAGGTAAAAAAAGAACTCACTTTACTTTTCCCATCACACCTCTGGTTACCTTAGGGAACCCCATTTCAATGGAAAAGGAGAAAGGATAATTTCTGCTATCCTAAACGTGTTCATGTTCTCCACAGTAATCCTGTAGTGCTCTGTCCTTTCCTCTGCACAGTTTTATAGCTCTAGCCATTGAATCATAGCAGATTTTTGTCTTTGAGAAGGTAGGGTTTCAAGGAAAAGCAGCTCTAAGGAACAGCAGCCCAGAGGAACTTCCCTGCTACTGAACAGGTGTCTCAGGAGATTCCTTTCTACATCTTAATGGAATAAACTATTTTAAAGAATGGAATGGTGTGAGAGCATTCTAAACTTAGATTAGGGCTTTTTCCTTTGTTCAGCATACACATGGATCACTCTACTCAATATTCACTGTTGTGGAAAAAAAAAAAAGAACTACAAAAGGTTTCCAACTTTTTTTTTCTATTAACACAATGCCACACATAAATCGGTGGACTATAGCTCAATGTAAAAGCATAAAGAGTAAGAACAATTAAAAATGAAGGTTTTGTAAAAGGCCTCATATGGTTTGTGGAAAAGGAAAAAAAAACTTTTTTCTGGGTTGCCTTCTTTGTTTTTTAGCTGGTTGTTAGGCAGACAGTTCTGCAAGAGAAGAGATAATTGCGAAAGAGGAAAATGAAAATTATAGTTGTTGCAACTAAAAACATCAATTTAGATTTAAGCACAATAAAAGAGCATAATCTTTCATTCTAATGGCCATATAACTAGCAATATTTCTAATGACAATATAAGCTATAATTATAAAAAAGAATTCAGTTATAAAAAAGATTGCTTGGGTTTAAAATGATAACCTGAATAGAAGCCAAGTCTAAGAGTACACTTGTAAATATTTGTATTCCTGATGTTCCTTTTTATTATAAATCCATTAAGGCAATAAAATTACTTTTCCTACATTTCTCCTTTATGTAAGTAGAATTTTATGGGTTTGTGGCTATTAAGCATAAGTCATTTGAGCTCCTGGACAGATGAGTAGAGCTATGTAAACATAAATCAGTTAATAATATTCAGCAATTGAATCATTACATACATACTGCTATAAAGTCATTTTTCTTCATCCACTTAGTATATTTTTTGCAAATTTGAGAAATAATGGGTTTACTCTGCATTTATAATTAAAAATTACTTTTAAAGTTTGTAAGGTTATTGAACCAGTTAATGGCGGAGCTGGTTTTGCTTGTTTTGCTTTCAACAAAGCAGTTAAGTTTGAATATGTCATGGTAGTTTTAAAAGTGAATATATTTAAATTTAAGGCAATAGGACACCCTTTGCACCAAAATATTTTCTACCATTTGTGAAATAAGAGATGAGAGTAACCTATGATTATGGAAACTGTGGAAAGATAAGGAAGGTCATAAAGATATCTTTCTTACAGAACTTTCCAACCTTATGTAAGGACTATGAAAAACCACAAAGAAGTATTGTTTTCCTTTGAAGATTAAAAGCAACGCAACTAATTTTCTCCATTGAGATGTAATGTTACCTAGAAAAAGAGAACTGGCTAAGAAAATGGCTTGAGATTCCTATCCTTTCACTGGGTTAGAGAAAACGAAAAGGAGGGACTCCAAAATATGCCTGTATGTAAAACCCTCCACCTGTCTAAAAGTCCTTTGGGGACCAAGTAGTTCTGAATAAGTGAGTTTTCAGGAGAGCTTTGTATGTCATTCCAAGAATAAAAATTTTGCATGAAAACATTACTAAAAACTGGTTTTAAATTCCCTGATCTTTCTCCAACTTCCTCAGACTTCAAGATTGTTTTTTTTTTTTAAATAGTGTAAGTCATTCAAACTCATTTAATAAATTAAGAAGGTAAAGAAAATAGTCATAATCCTAATGCCCAGAATCAGAGGGAACATATTCTGTTTCTTAAACACAATACAGAGGACATGGCTCAAGGCTATAAAATAATGGGATCCTAAATCTACATGAATATTTTTTAAAGCCTGGAACTATGCTAAACATTCCATACAGTTGGCCTCATTTAGTCCCTGCAAGCCAAAGAGGCAAGTATTATTCTTATCTTACATATAAAGAAAAGAAGCCTTCGGAAATTATCAAGGATATGTAAAACAAGAAAACCTAAATTCAAAGCCTCTATCTAGCTCTAAAGACTAACCTCTTAGCTGTCTCACAGTATCTGTTATGATAGTAAGTGAAAGGCAATATACTGTTGGGCCTCCCTGGTGGTGCAAGGGGTTAAGCACCACACTATGAAGCAATCCGCACTATGAAGCAATCCGGAGTTCCATCCCCCCCCAGCCAGGGAGTAACCCACATGGCGAAGAGGACCTCTCCTGTCTCACCCGCTGCTCCCCTCAGCAGTGTATTTCAGTCAGTCTGCCTGTTCTGTTCCCCACGGTGTCTCTGGTGAATCCTCTCACCCCCTCATCTCTGACCTGTACCCCAGCTCTTGTATGCATAAATAAATCAATCTTTAAAAAAAAAAAAAGGCAACATACTGTTATGAATTTAACGGTAACCATTCATGCATCCTTTACACATAGTCTTAATTTTTCAAACTTTTCTAGTGTCAGGTTCTCATTTTTAAGGTTCTGCCCCACAATGTTCATGATTTTAACTCATGATTATTATAAAAAACATTGCTGTCACATTCACTGATATTTGTACAAACTTCTACTGACCGTCCATAAAAACATGTATACTCTTCTTTGGGCCCAACTCACTCTGGCCCAAAGAAGAGTATACATGCTGCAGGACAAAGTCTCTTCCATATTTGGAATACACTAATCACACCTTTTATACAACACTTGTTTTTCAAAGAAGGTATATTTTATTCTTACGGTATCCCTATCACCCTTTCAGTTTGCTGCTTTAAATTTGCCTAAGCTTAGAAAAGTCAACAAAATAAACTCATTAAAATCTTGTGAAACATGAGTAAGACTTCCAATGGGTAACATACATATAGACTGTGATATGTATATTTATTTCCTACTGACAGCTCTGAGATGAGATGCTATCATGCTGGCTTTGAAACATGAAGGAGGCATCAGCTAACCTTGAAAAATCAGATTACTCATAATCCAAAATGTTTTAATAAAAATTTAGATAGAGCTAGAAAGGCACCTTACTCAGTCAAGGAACCTAATCACACATAGAAGAGAAGAAGAGTGAGTGCATTGGCAGAAAATTATTTCCAGATACAAGTAACAGCAAAAAGTCAAATGTGCCATAAAACAAACAAGGCAGAGGAGGTCATTAAGTATGGGAAGTTTAAATAAGAAAAGGAAGAGAGACTTTGATGGCCTGTACTAATAAAGATAAGCCCCAGCTTCAAAAAATGTTTGGAGAATGCTCCCAACTCATGCTGGCCCAAAGAGGTAGAGCAGGCAGAGCATCAGAGAAAATAACAGAGTGCAGAGCAAGAAGGTGAAGGGAATTCCACACAAATTTAGAAAGACAAACACATGCGTTTTTTGTTTTGATGGGATAAGAACAGTAGCTATAGGGCCTCCCTGGTGGTGCAAGGGTTAAGACGAAATCTGTGGAGCTATTCCCAGCCAGCCAGGGTGCAACCCACATGGCACTGCAGACCTCTCCTGACTCACCCACTGCTCCCCTCAGCAGTGTACTTTGGTCAATCTGCCTGTTCTGTTCCTTACTCTCTCTGGTGAATTCTCTCACCCCCTGCACCCTAGCTCTTGTATACATAAATAAATAAATATTAAAAAAAAAAAACAACAGTAGATATAGAGATGGAAGAAAGGTTGCCTTGAAGAGAACAGAGGTCTATAATTTCAATCTTAGCTGGGTTCAGCTCTGCTTATGTTTCACCAAATGGGACAAATAAAAAGCCTCACGAAGTTATTTTTATCATAGAAACGTAATAGGCATCTTATTTTTAAACAAGATGACATGCTATTATTACACAGCGTATAAAGTTTCCTTTTGTTCATAAAATTATTAATATGAAAGCTTTATTAATCAAGTTATCAATATAATTAAAAATTATTTCTAATTATAGTTGTTAATAGCTAATATTATAGTTATTTTACAACGCCAGAACAAATACCTATGAGAAAAGGATAGCCAGGTGCCTCCAGGGGGACAATGGGTGGCAATTTCAACTGTGCTTTTATTTCCACTGATCTCTGTTCCCTGCTAGGTCTCTCTTAAGAGAAAGAAGAAATATCAAGTCACTCTGACCTGAAAATCTCTAATTCTTAGGAGGCTAGAAGTTGATGGAGCATAGAATATAGTTGAGAATCTAATTGTTTCAAAGGCTTTCCTGGGTTGCTCCATGGGGATGTGTTTTTTTCAGAATAAGACCCTAGATAAATATTTAAGACTGAATCCTTTATTCTATCTATTACGATAATTTTTCTCCTTAGGTCTGCCACTCTTTAAGATTCCTTTTCTCCTTAAGTCTCCCTGCACTCTAAGCAGGCTGATATGACACATGAGCATCTTAAGTTTTTTCGTGCCAATAGCTTATGGTTACCTACTAAAAAATAAAATAAAAATCAAGTTTTTAAAGAAGAAGGGATATTTGCTAGGAATGTAAAACAGGGCCTCCCTCTGTTCTCCTTATACCTTATTCAAATATAACTATAAAAAGTGCCCTTAATTTATATCCGGAAAGTTAAGGATTATATTACTCCTGCATCCATTATTCATAAATATAAATGACAACGTCTCTTAGGTGATTTTGATACTAAAGAAAAAAAAGTAATCCTTGATAAAACACAACATATAATCACACAAATTTGAGTACAATTTAAGACAATTAGCCATCACAATTAAGTCAACTCAAACTGAAATGACATGGTAAAGTAAGTACTTGTCTTTACATGCAAAGAAAAACGTATGAAATGCCCAAACAACAGATCACGTGAAAAAAAAAAAAAAATTACTTCCAAACTCTTCTGTGTCCAGCAACATAGTGAGGTGCTTTAAAGGTCAAAAACATTGAACTGTCTAGATATATCCTGAATAGTATATTATTACATTGTGAAGTTTATTTTGTTCAATAAGGAGATAAATAATAAAGTCAAGCAGTCAAAAGAAATAGCAAAAAACAGGATATTCATAAATACATAAGATATAAACAGTATAGATTCATTCCCAGTTGACTCAATTCCACTTACATATTTAAAATAGAAAATACATCTTAATTTATCAAGAAGCTGACCACATTTAGCACCGGGAAGGGAAATTTACTTCAGCTTTTCATTATGGCCTCAGTATCTTGTCATAGTAAAAGAAATTTCATGAAATTTATGTGTTTTCATTAATTAATAAAAATTTTGCAAAGTAACTGCTGAGTACCACTGCATCACAAATCAGTCAAAGGATAAAAGTCTTAAAAAGGGGGACTACTTGATGTTGCGGACAACTCTCCTACAATGGTTTGTTTTCATCTCTTCCAATGCTTGTTCCAATTGCTGAACCAAATGGAGCAGGGTGGCTGGGTCTGTCTGCAGAACTTTGGTGTTGTGGTCTCCGTTCTGATGAAGGTGTAGCTTTATAGTCACTGATGGTTTAATCTGTTGCCTGAGACTTCTGCTTGCAAGCTTGATTTTTATTTGGAATAAGAGCATAATAAATTTCAATAATCATTGATATTTGAATACATATTTATAATTACTTCACACCATACATAAGAATGAAATTTAAGATGAATTCAAAATGAAAAGGCTTTAAAATGAAAAGTAAACTTTAAAATCTTTGGGGAAAAAAATGAGAATATATATGCAACTTTACAGTATGGAAGGATTTCTTAAAGATGATAGAAAAGGCACAAACCATAATGGGGAAAAAAAAACCTGGTAAATTTAACTACACTAACATTACATTTTCTTAAAAGGAAACCTAAAGATGGTAGAAAAACAAGGCACATTCTGACAAAAAAATATTTTGTAACAAATATAACCAAACAGAAGATTAGTGTCTGGAACATATGAAAATGAACTATCTGTGAAATTATCTGAAAATGAACATTTTCAGATTAAAGTATCAAAACAGCATTTGATTAAAGTGGTAAAGAATATAAGAAATCTGAGGACATAAACCTAAAATAAATTTCATATTCAATGTAAGGTTAAAAAAATAAGGCTGTACCTGTACATCTAGTCGCCATTCAAGGTTCTGGTAACTGGGAAGGTCTGGCACCAATTCATTCAGAATAGTTCGGATTTCCTTTCTGTTGTCCAGATAAAGCTGAAGCAACAATTTGTTCAATTCTTCAGAGAACCCCAGAACAAAAACAGAGTCTTGGAAATCCAGTTCAGAAATCTAAGTTAATCAAGTCAAACAGAACATTAAAATTGATCTTTGTCTAGAAAAAGCCTGAGTGCTTGATATATGTAAAAGAAAATCTATTATTTATTTTCTGCCTAGTAAAAAAAACACTCATTACAAATACAACCTTTGTCTGCTATTTCAAAATCTGAGTCACAATACATAAAATACTTCAAGTATAAAAAGAAAACATTAGGGCCTCCCTGGTGGCTCAGCGGTTGAGCGCTGGGTTGAGAGGCTGCCCGCAGCCTCTGCAGTGCCGGTTCGATCCCCGGCTGTTCCCCGGCCACCGGAGGAGGGTCCCACATGGCGCGCAGACCTCTCCTGCCGCCCGCTGCTCCCCTCAGCAGTGTACTTCGGTCCTTCTGCTTGCTCTGCTCCCCACTCTGGCTCTGGTGAATTCTCTCACCCTCCCGCGCTTCTGACTGTACCCAGTGCTTGTATAAATAAATAAATAAATCTTAAAAAAAAAAAAAGAGAAAAAAAAACAAGACATTATTCTAATGCCCAGTTTTCTCTCCAATTCTTCAACTCCAATACTAATATACAAAAAAAAAAGAGAAATCATTAAATTGTTCTTCCTCTTATATATACTATGGTATATGTTTTAACAACATGCAGGATTAGAAGCAATTCTAATCTATGCTAACAAGAGGTATTCAGACTTGCAGATCACATTATTGTCATACTGTTTAGATATGGCTTCACTAAATCAATTTATAAACCATTTACCAACCTTACTGAAATACCCAGGTACCTGATGGGACTATGATGTAGAGAATATTGAAACATCCTAAGGTCCTGGGAATAAAAACCAGTCCACAGAATCCCTTACCATGAGCTTTGAGCTTTCAGTAAGGAGGTATGTCAATCCTTCCACACCATGCTGGACAGTGTCACTACTCACATTGAGTTTTCCTGAGGAGGGAAAATGAGCAAATTGTTGTGTGAAATTTATCCTTTTGAAGCATGTACATTATTCCCTGCAATGAAAAATCATACATAGGGTAATAGCTTCCTGTTCTTTCTCAAGTCCCAGCCAAATGCCTTCATTATTTCCCACCATGTAACCTTGCAGATTCCAGGAGGCTCGTATCAGTATTATACAGTCCTTCTCTTGAATACGCAGCTCCTACAAGCCTGGCAGAAGAGGAACTCGAAAAATCCTGACAATCTCAGAAAACGCTCCTCATGCTGGGGGAAAACACAATACTACAGCAAAAACAGATGTCCGAAACAATAATTAAACACAAGATATTTGTGGCTCACCCAGCTATTCCACACACGTAAGGTGTATTTAAGCATTACAACCACCTCTGGTAGATGGTATTACGTCCATGAGGAAATTGACTTAACGGAAGCTTTACAAATCTCACGACTCCTTACGGCCGGGCAGGATTTGTGCTGAATGGAGTCCTTCAGGTTTTCTCCTACCAAAAAGGACAAGACTCCAGGAGCTGCAATAATCCCTCCTCTGCAGGGAGACCGAGAACGGCCGGCACCTCCCCGCGCAGCCGGCGAAGCTGCACCCCTCGCCTTCTTACTGGCTGCGCCTTCGTAGACCTTAGGGTTGGAGCCTCGCCTCAGGAACTCCACCGCAATCCGCCCGAACTCTGCGACCACTGCAACGCAAGCAGGACAGTGAGCGCCGAGCTCCAGCGCCCCCGCCCAGGCCACAGACCACCACCCTGCGCTACCGCGCTTCCTCACCCGCGCAGTCCACTCGCGGCAGGAAGGCCAGGTGCTCCTTATGCTCCTCCGACAAGTCCAGCAACATTTTCAAAAAGCAGCCGACCTCCCTGCCGACCTCAATCGACTGCGTCGACTCGACACTCGCCACTTCCGGGTCCCGCGTCCAAGCGCAAAGAGGTTCCGGCGACCTACCATTGCGAGCTTTGGGTTCCGGCCTAAAGTTGCCTTTCATTCTGGCCTTGCAAGCCTGGGCCAGAAAATCCTTCACTTGGCAAAACGTCTCCCGAAGATGGAACCCACTGTGGGGGGTGCACGGCGGTGGACTCTGGAAGATGAAAAGATGCTTAAATTCCGACACGCCCCCTAGTGGAACTTACATTAATAATATAGGTAGCTTACAGTTATTTAGTTTTTATTTTTATTTTTTTACCAATATGAAATTTTACTTTTTATCAGCTCAAGTCAGTGCTTTATTCATTTTTACTTTTTATTTTATTTTTTAAAATTGTAATTTTTTTTATTGAGGCAGCGTTGGTTTATAATGCATGATTTAGGTTTGCCCCTTTCAGATCAGTGTTATCAAACTTACCAACAAAGCACCAAAAATTCTCCACCATAGTCATTCCAACCACTCTCCACTTTAAATTACTAACATTTATTAAGCACTAGAAATGTCAGGAACTTTTCTTGCATTCAATACCTCATCTAGAGGTCATAAGAAACCGTGAGGTAAGTACAATTATAATTCCCATTAGAGATAAGGAGAAAAAGAACAGACTAAATTACTAACATTTATTAAGCACAATGTCAGGACTTCTTGCATTCATACCTCATCTAGAGGTCATAAGAACGTGAGGTAAGTTATTTAATCCCATTAGAGATAAGGAAATGGAAAGACAGATTAAGCAACTCAGACTAATTTTATACAGCTGGTGCACAGAACTTGTTTTCATGAAACTGCTTAATGGATGAAGTATTAAAGCTCCAAAAGAGAGATCAAGAAAGAAAGACACTTCTTATTTGTCATTATACCTAGGAGCTGATATAGCTCTACTCCAAGTCTCCTGGGAAGATATGAAAATGGAAAATTTTTCACCTCTTCTCTGTCACTACCATGTCCCTTGCATCTGACTAAAATTGAAAGAGTTTATTTCTTTCACTGGGTGCCAAAAAACCAAATTCTTGAACTTGTTAGGCCTTAAAGCAGCATTTATAGAGTGGTCACAATTTTTACTTCACTGTAAGTTGCAGATTAGAAAATTGGCATTATTTCCTGAAAAGGTTTTTATTCGAACATTGAGTAAATGTTCATTATTTAAGAATAATTTTTAGAAAATGTAAAATCATGATTTTTCTACAAATATATAATGAACACATCAAGAATACTGATATCGAGAATTAATGAGGGAGGGCCTCCCTGGTGGCACAAGGGGTTAAGACACAACCTATGAAGCTATCCGCAGCCACTGCAGCACCAGTTTGATCCCCCCAGATGGCCAGGGAGCTACCCACATGGCATAGCAGACCTCTCCTGTCTCGCCTGCTGCTTCCCTCAGCAGTGTATTTCAGTCAGTCTGCCTGTTCTGTTCCTCACTCTGTCTCTGGTGAATCCGCTCATCCCCCTCCCCCCACATTTCTGGCCTGTACCCCAGCTCTTGTATGCATAAATAAATCTTTAAAAAAAGAATTAATGAGGGAATGAGTAAGATTACAGTGTGCTTCAAAGGAGAGAGTCAAGAAGAATACATATATGGGGAATAAGGAGTACTTAAATGAATTCACAAATATATAAAATATATATAATATAGCATTTCTTTTCCTTGATTTCCAGTACTGAAGTGGGGGTAGGGCAGGTGAAGGTAGAGAATAGAGGTGTAGCAGATTTGGGTAACCAAAAAGGGGGTCAAGAAGCCAAGTAACAGCTGAGGGAAGTCATCTTGGGAGTTAAAACTGCCTAAGATAATTTTTATAGAGGGACTCTTCTTTACCAAATGTCATGTAGTTATTTAGAGGAAATCAACTAAGTGTAAAGTCAAGTCAATATTCCAGATCTAGTTCTCACATCTACTACCCATTCTGTCTCCAACAAGTTGTCTTTATATGATATAAAAATAGCCTCTTCATTTATAACATGGGAATTTTAATGACTTCTGTGCCATGCAGGGATGTTATGATGTTCAGATGAACAAATGAATTCACTTGAAAAAATTGATTTTGATGATTAAAATAATAAATTCATATTAAGCAATCAAAAGATATGTCAACTGAAGCATTTATATTTTAAGGGAGCATATTTCATATGCACAGATAATTGAAAATTCTATGTCATTATCATCCTTAAATTCATTCATTGAGTTCAACAACTGGTTCAAACAATTGGCTTGGCAATTTGGAAATGATTAAAACAATGTCCTTGTCTTCTAGGAGATGGCAATAAAGTGGGGATGACAAGTAAGTAATTTCAGTATAATGTGATGAGTGGCAAGGAATAAATAAGAAATCATAGAAAAAGTTGCAATTCTGATTTTGAGAAAATTCAGTCTGGGAATAGATGTCTCAGGGTATCCTTGTACATGGTAATAATAATGCTTTACAATTGTATAATAAGTATATACAATCTTTTAAAAAATGTCTTTTTAAAATTAAGATTTATGTATTTATGCATACAAGAGCTGTGGTACAGACCAGAGATGTGTGTGGTGGTGGTGGGGGGGGTGGGCGGTGAGAGGATTCACCAGAGACAGAGTGGGAAACAGAACAGGCAGACTGAAATACAGTGCTGAAGGGAGCAGCGGGTGAGACAGGAGAGGTCTGCTGCACCATGTGGGTATCTCCCAGGCCAGCTGGGCTCGAACCTGCACTGCAGAGGCTGCAAACAGCTTCATAGTGCTGTGCTCAACCACCTGCGCCACCAGGGAGGCCCCACAATCTTAATGTCACTCAGGCTATGCAGCTAAAATAAAGAATATTCACATTTATTACCTGTTGATTCTCACAGGAAACAAAGCTCCAAATCAACTGTTCTCTCACATTCTCTCCTCATCTTTTGAATCCGCCTTCTTTTCCCCTCATATTTCTCTATATTTCTTTCTCCTCAGGCATTCTGTTCCAGAATCTTTATACCAGTTATTTTATTGGCTGTATTTCAATGATATAAAAATATTATCATTTCTGTAAGGAATTACAGATCATTGATCTGTAAGGAATTACAGATCAAATCAACTCCTGCCAATGGCCCAATAGCATAGTGTCACTCATTCATGTGAACTACCTTCTCATTGTTACAGGGCACCCCCCAGTGAAAATGGGGATTATCTGGGTATGAGTAGTTATCTTTGTGCTTACCACTTTGGATAAGACCCAAACCACTTTGGAGAATTGTTTGGCAGTTTCTTATAACGTTAAATGTACATTTACCTCATTATCCAATAATTCACTCTGAGGTATTTTCCCAAAAGAAGTGAAAATATATGACCAGGAAAAGACCTTTACAATGATGTTCATAACAGCTTTATTAATAATATCCCCAAAATAGAGGCAACCCAAATGTCCATACAGTTAAAAAGATAAATTATGGTGCATCTATACATAACAATAGTAATAAAAGAGAATGCACAAATTATACAAGCAACAATATAAATGAATCTCAAGATATTACAGCAAAAAAACCCAGACACAAAAATAAACAACTGTGTGATTCTTTGGGAAATTTTATCCATGGAGCTAGAAATCAGAATAGTTGTTACCTGTAAGGTGTTGGGATAGAATTAGGAGTTTAAAGGAACTTTCTGCAGTAATGTTCTTGTTCTACATTTTGATAAGAATACTGATTACATAAATGAATATATTTGTCAAAGCCATTAAATCTTAGATTAAAGATCTGGGCAACTCACTATATGTAAAAATTACCTAAATTTTAAAAATAAATAGAAGGTAATATTTTAGCAGAATTTCAAAGATGTCCGAGACCAGCAATAGACCATTATATTTGTTCTGTTGTAGGGGCATTACCTATACAGAATTTTTTGTATTTTTTTATTGAGGTAATATTAGTTTATAATACTGTATATGATTTAGAGATACCAAGTCACACCTCCTCAGATGTATGTTACCAAAAATGCCCACCACCAAAACACCCATAATCCTCCACTAAAGTCCACTGGAGACTCTCACCCTTTTGTTCTCCACACTTCTCTCTAGTAACCTCAGTTCTACTGTCATATTTCTAGGTTTGTTGTGGTTTAGTTTTATCTGTTGTTTTGTTTCTCTATATTCCACATTAGTATGATCATCTGGTATTTGTCTTTCTTCTTTTTTCTTACTTCACTTAGCACAATCCCCTCCAGTTCTAACCATATTGTTAGAATTTTTAAAATTTATTTATTACTATATCTAAGCCATACATTCTTTTTTTTATAAGTTATTTATTTATTTATTATTTTTTTAATAGAGGCATGTTTTTTATTTATTTATTTGTTTGTTTGTTTGTTTATACATGCACTGGGTACAGTCAGAAGTGCGGGAGGGTGAGAGAATTCACCAGAGCCAGAGTGGGGAGCAGAGCAGGCAGAAGGACCGAAGTACACTGCTGACGGGAGTAGCGGGCGGCAGGAGAGGTCTGCGCGCCATGTGGGACCCTCCTCTGGTGGCTGGGTTGCAGCTGGGGATCGAACCGGCGCCGCAGAGGCCGCGGGCAGCTTCGCAACCCAGTGCTCAACCGCTGCGCCACCGGGGAGGCCCTAAGCCATACATTCTTATGGCTTGGGGAAAAAAAAAAAAAAAAATCCAGCAAAGCAAAGAAGAAAAGAAATAGTAAAAATTCTCACTACTATCCTTGTTTCCCCTCTGCTAATTTTCTTACCTTTTAAGCAGGCATTGTTCTCAGTTTCTTATAAATTCTTCCTCAGAATATTTATGCAAAAACTTAAGTTCCCTAAGTTTTCATTTAGGGTGATGAAGTACAAAAATGTATTAAATATTAAATATCTACTTTATAATTATCTGTCATTAAAACTGTTATTAGAAATTTTAGCATTAGAAATGTTATGGAAGTGTTTAGCATTAAAACTACAGGTTCTATTTGACCAGGTTTTTACCCAAATTGGGGTTATTATCACTTTCAGGTTACATTTTTTGGAGGATTTTCACATGCCATCGGGCCTTC